TCTTCTACTAGCGCTATCTCAGAAAGCTTCAAGGTCACATCGCGCCCGTACATTTCGGACTCTGTATTGACCGGACGCCGTGGGCTGGGGTCGTGTTCTGTGTGATTGTGGAATGGGGTGGCCATCTGTGGCCATCTAGGGTGGAAATTAATACCAATGAAAATCGGTGCGCCACGGTTATCTCATTCCCCGCACGGCATTTACGCTAATGTTTGTACGTGTACATAGCATGAAGTTTGGCTCATCATTCAAGCATTGCACGATGCAGATGTGGGACATCGCCAGCTGGATGACTGTCGCCACCTGCTTTACAATGAGGGAACTGAGGCCGTTCGAATCGTGGATTTATGGCACGCTCTAGGTCGACATGTATGCCGGCGTCAGCTGCCTCTTATCAACTATGCAGCTTGTCCATCCGACGAGATAATGCAATGCGGAGGCTTCTGAGTCTCTTTGGCTCTGCACCTGGTGAGTTGTTCTCTCGTCTATACAATGTCCTTTCTAGATTGATGCATTTTGCAGAGGGTCAAAATGTGGACATAAACAGGGCACATGTTTTCCAAGAGCAACAGAGCTTTACCTGTAAAGCTTTAAGACTTTCGCATCTCCTGGCACTTGAGGCCCAGTTACAGTTTCTTTTGCGGTATCGGGATGCGCGGAGCCAGACAGCTTGATCAGATTCTGAAACGGAGCGGGAGGCCTCTCAGCTGCACCCGCCACAGACCTGTTACTCCGGAGGTAATAGAAGTGATCCTGAAGGAGACTGGTGTGTCTCGACGGGCATCAAATTCATCTCGGATACGGAGTAATACGTTTTCTCCGTAGTTTGACCTTGACTAGCGCCATTGACCGGGCTCTATATCTTGCATAAATTTGGCTTACACTTCGCACATTTTTACACTCAGTGGTAGAAGTATTACTACAGCGTTTAAGTTAGCATCATTCAATCTGATCCCATCGATTGCTTTTTCGAAGTGCTATTCAATGACACTGCTAATGTTCACATGGTCAGTCACCACGTTGGTCTAATGCTGAATTTACGGGAGCTCAGAAGATATGGAAAGTTAAAGAGCATGTAGATGTTTTTAGTTACGTAACTGTCCATCATCGATGCAATCAACCACCATGGACAGCGCTGAGTTTCATGCTGCCGTGTACAATGCTGTGAGGCATATCCCGGTAGCTCGCGTCACTTCCTACGGTACGTCCCTAGCCCTCACAATCCCCTCTCCAAGGCTGCGACCCTTGCATCGATGCAGGCCACATCGCGAAACTCATTGGCATGCCCACCTATTCACGCCACGTCGGCCAAGGTACTCTCAATTACCGTCATAAAGTCTCACTTAAATAACATGCTTAATAGCATTGAAGTTCACCTCGCCTGACGCAGATCCTCCTGTGCCATGGTATCGCGTCATTTCATCCACAGGCGCGATATTGTCTCGCGGACCGGGAACGGATGGAGCACAGCGGCAAAGGGAGGCCTTGGAAGCGGAAGGCGTAGAGGTGTCTGATCCCGGATTGAAGATCGATCTGAGGAGGTGGGGATGGTTTCCCGATAACCTCGACGAAGACGTTTGACGTATGATCGTGACGATCCCGGGTTTTGACGCAATGTACTGTCGCGTGTTTGAACACTAGGCTATGATTGTATACAATACTAACATACTCCGCAATTCTCACCGCTGCGTCATTTTCTATCATTCTTGGTCTACATCACTCGATTTCGGTCATGAAGGTGAATACAACCAGCTCAATACATCTTTTAATTTGGATCAGAGAAAGAATGAGAACTACTCTAAAATATCTAGTGAAACACTGTATAAAAATAGAGGCACCCTACAATTATTGATAGTACAAGTCTCCACAACAAGAAAAGCGACGATGATAAGGATGGTGTCGAGCATTTTAGACAGTGATGGTGAATTTTAGGTTATCGCCCTCGAACTCGCACTTGACTGAGTTCATATTCTCGACCAGGAAATGAGCACCACAGTTCTCGATCTTCGACCTTTCATGCGAAGTACAAACAGCGATGACAGTCGCACCGCTAGAAACACCCGCTCGGATGCCGGAAGGGGAATCTTCAAACACGACACACTTCGAAGCGTCGTATCCGAGACACTTTGCGGCAAGAAGGAACGGATCAGGTGCAGGCTTTCCAGCTTTGAGACGCTTATCGTCGGCAGTGATGGTGACAGGGGGAGGGGTTATCCCGACGCGAGTCATGCATCCGTGAGCTGTGGTAGAATAATAACTTAGACGGGTAGAACGCAGAAGATAAGGAAACTCACCGTAAGTCTTGGCTCCGGAAGTCGCGACAGCGTATCTGCCCGCGGGAATAGAATTCATCAACCTCTTCACTCCAGGAAGAATGCGGACGGAGCGATCAACGCTCGCCGCTTCGATCTGCCAAGCCTCCAGTTCATCCCGACGCGTCTTTTTGTCGAGAGCCTCCTCGTCGACAATCTCATTGTTATTAGCCTCCATGACAGTATCCTCGAAGGTAGGTTGATACACATGAGTCTCTGGAACCGCGCTCATGCGAAGAAGGTTCTGGAGACGGCTGGCGAAAGAGGGACGGCGGGATTGGGAGGAAATGATCGAGGAGGCGCGAGAACTCGGCGCCGAGCTTGCGGGGGTCAGATCGGGAGTACCAAAACCCGAACTTGCGGGAGAACGGAGGGGGGAGTCCACGGGGGAGTTGGAAAAAGAGTTACTGCGAGATCCAGGACCATGGGTGTTGTAAGCGTCGGCGTAGAAGAGAATGGACTCTTCAAACTTGGTGACCTCGTCGTCCATTTCGTGTTCTTTGATGTAGGGCTTGAATGCGGCGAGGTTATCGACGGCGCGTTTACCGTGGGTGGCGGCAATGACATAGGCTGGGTCCTCCCCAATGTCCTTCGCGACTTTGCCCCAGGCGGCTTCTACAGCTTGAATAGAATCCGTCAAGGTTCCATCCTATCAGCACACTGGCAGAGTTAGATTGGGAAGACGATGGTGACAAGGTACACACCATGTCAAAGAGGACCGCGTCGGCGTAGAAAGTGTGAGTCGAAGACATGATTTCACGAAAGAGATGATTTGATAAGAGGTGTAATCAGAGAGATGATGCTTCGACTGGGAGTTGGGGAAATTGGTCGCAACATGTCACTTTATATACAAGGATGTTTTGATTAATAGGGGAATGTGACGTCAAGGAAGGCAGAAAAAAATTTGTCTGAGTTGTCATCTGGGCCAGCATCTCAAGGCGAAGCGGGTTGCCATAACGGGAGACACTGCTGAATGGTTGAGGGACAGCCACCAAATAAGTAATGCTGATTTCAGCGTTGACGATTGGTATTTCCATTATAAATGCCCTTCCGAAGGCTCCACAGTTCCAAGGTCCACGATCGGTTTTTTTTTCGTGACACAACAGAAAGATAAGGCTCCAGGCTTCCCTAGAATGAGTGGGGAATTTTATTAGAACCTTCCGGGAATGGTGGATGTCAACTTACACAGTAGCTCTCATCGACATACGAGTAGTACAAATGTACAAGGCGGTGATGATCTCCTTTTTGGGTGATATGATCAAATCGGTTGCTGTCCATAAAGGTTCGTTACCACGTTTTCCTGGACAACACCCGCACAGCGAGGCACAGCCGATCATCTCTACATGCTCTACCTTCCAGCCTCCTTCCTTCACCTCCTTTAACAATGACTCCTTTGACTCCATCGTTCTTCGCCTTTTCTTGTGTAGAAAGGTATTTTACGTCACTTGTCTCGCTTTGCCGGGCGGCCCGGCCCTCTATTGATTATCCATACTGTCGGGATTCACCTGAATTAGTCGCCAAAGGTCCTGCGTCTCGATCACGAACGTTGGATTTATATTTTATTCTGCTCCCCTACATGTTGGCTCTTCCGCGTGTAGCTGGAGCGTTAGGTAACGATATGCCAGGAGCCCTATCTTTGGGCAGGCGTTCTGCCGCACTGGCCTGTTCTCTCTGTCACTAGAATGTCTTCTTTAACTCATGTGTTCATGTATCAGAAAGTTTACCTGCATAGACCTGCATGTGACAGAGTCTAGACCAAGGCACTAATAACAAAGAACAGACGTATTTCATTGAGATGGGAATCATCTCGCGCCGCCCCCACTTCAGGTCGTTTCATCTTCAGCTTGTGGCTTGATTACCGCTCGGCGTCTTGTATCATGGGATCAAATGGACCTCCGTCCCCCCGCATTTGTGACTTGCGAGGGATTTCCATCTCCTTCCACTCCTTCCACTCGGAGTGTCCTCAAGGCTCCTCAAGGTCTGCCGTTGCTAACAACAAATGCATGTGCAACAAACGTGCCTGACGTCACCGACCGCTATCAATCCATTGTTCTGTGTTCGTCTTCAGTCCGCCATCGTCATGTTGCGACGGACAGTCCTCAATTCGACGAAGACGTCTATAGTCTTCCTTCCACCGGCATTTTCACATGTCTAAAGAGAGTTTCCAGGGCGAAATGAACGGTACTGAAAGGAACTAAAAGGAAATACAAATGATCAACATTCGAAGCTCTTTACTCGACTTGTAGAGGTCGCGGACTTGACCCGAAGACCGACTCGGGGTACTATGTTTCTTGAACTTGGATGAACTATCTCGTCAGAAAGTTCTATGGTTCTCCTCGACCACAGGAAGCAAGGCTTATCTGAAGCGAAGCTCGTTCCTCGTTTGTCTTCTACCCTTCAAGGCACAATCCAAAAGATGACTCCGAATATCCTACTCTCGTGTTGGAGCCTAGAGGCGTTGCCATTGAGAGCAATACGGACTTGGGTCCGCCATCTTTATATTTCCGACTTACTCCAGGGCGATAGCGTGTGAATTTGCAGGTATTTTTACTTGGACATCAACCTATCAGCCTAATGTTGAGAATAACACAAGCCCGAGTGACCTATTTTGCGCTGGGCACTGTCGGAGACAATGATTAGGCAGTTGCCGTGCCGGAAGATATAAGATCATTAGTTCTCGCATCAAAGGCATTAATGGGGTAGTGGTAACCTGGGTCGTTGCCACGATGCGGATATATCGACCCGCCGGGGGTTCGATTCCCTCTTAATGCATAATCATGATTTTTTTAATGTCCTCCTTCCTAGAAGGGCCAGGAAGTTTGATGCAGAATTCAAAATTGTTGACTCTTGAGTCTTCAGTTTACACTTGGTAGTGAGTAGATACTGGCCCAGACTCCGACTCCATACCAGCATCCATGATCCTTAGTGACTTCACTCAGAGCTGACTGTGAAGTTGTATTATCCTATTCTTCATGAGGAAGGATCTGCTCTGAACCACAAAGTTCATCTTTAACCCCCGCACAGCATTTCAAAACTGTAGTTCGTTTTCGGCCTGGAGGATCAGCCCTCTGAACTTCGATGAAACTTTCCGGTCCCTAACTGGCCGGAGTCTGGTGCTGACAGTTTGCATCATCCCTAGGTATATCGGCATTCTTCTACCTTACGTCGATGATCGTGATCACGTCGTTGAAAATGTTAGATGTTCATTCTTTGAGGTCAGGGAGGTTAAATTTGCGACAGCGCAAGTTTTCGGTGATTATAATGTCACTGTCCATTCCAAATTCCGGAGTTGAGACTACAGTTATAACGACACCTTAAATAATCCGTGAATGCGTATATGTACAATTGCCTACGATAATCCATGGTAATTTCGAATCTATTTATCGGGAAAATCAAACCAGAGTTAGTTCATTTGGGAAATCTATTAGAAGGCAAGGGCTCGCCTTCGTTGCCGCATTATTACAGCTGTGTAGATTATCTACACCTATGTTTTATGAACCACAGGTCAGAGCGGCACGATTAGTTATTAGTAGTATGACGACTGCATGTGAATTTGAGTATCTGAATCGGGAACTGGAAAGTGATGACCGTTGCAGGCGGCGGCATGGCGAGAACGTATACGCCAGCGGTAGATGAGAACAGCATGGAGTATAAATAAATGGGATGACGAGAGCATATCCAATATTGACAGCGGAGGGAAGGGGACCAGACGCGGCCACTTGAATAAGTCACATCTGCAAATAAAAGTTGTCAGCGCAGATGCTACCACAATCAACGCGTCGCAGACTCACCCAAATATCAAACCTTTTCTTCCTTCGCGAACAACTGATATCCGGCGGACCTGGATCCACAGCCCGCATAACACATGTCGAGGGGCTCGAGGTTGTGAGCATAACAAAGGAGATCACTTTGAGATTGTCATCAAAATCTATAGTGCACTCAAAGTCCTCCCTCCACCCCTTCCGGCTCGACCTCCACGTCCAATGCACGCTCCCGAGGAGAATGACACGCCCTGAGTGCGCCGAGATCCTCATGGAATGCTTTTCCATCGCAGAGCGCTCGTAATGTGTCGCTAGCAGATCAAAATACGATCGAACGGCGTTCAGCCCCGTGAATCGATAGGCATCGGGGGTTTTACAGTCTGCGAACGAATGCTGTATAGTGACCGTGTGGTGCTGGGAAAAATGTGCCAAGAGGCGTATGGATGGGGAGTTGTTGGCGATGTCAGAGAAAAGATCCTCTGCAACGGCTGTGAGGTCTGATACAGATAGCGACATTGTGGGAGGGAAGAACTCGACCATTTAGCCAAGGCAAGTGAGATCCTATATAAATCATTGGACCTCGGGCAGACGGGGATTTATTTTTGGCATGGCCGCAGAAGGGTTCCAGGTTCGCAGGGACTTGGCGCCGGCTGGTCGCAGTCGAGTGAGTAAAAAACATAATACGGGCACGTTTACGGACTTACTTCAATCGCATGATTCGCATCATTGGTACTTTCGTACGCCGTCTAAGGTGCAAGAAGTTGATATGATATTGGACACTCACGTCAATTGAAAATCCGGCACGTTCGCGGTCCTGCCACGGATATCAGCCGACTGCTTCGGATTAACGGTCTGCTATCCGCGGGCGCTGGCAAATCCTTGTTATTGGAGGGAAAATGCTCAAGAAGGTGCAGACAAGATTTAGCCACGAGACAGATGTAGTAACCGATACCTTTCGGGCCGAAGGCACTCTGACTGGCAGTACGCCGTGCAGAGAATTTTGACTGTAGTACAATTGCGACAGATTTTCAGGGTGTAGTACGAAAACAGCACGCTGATTCCGGGGTGGAGCTGCGCTCGATTTCAAAATCCACATGGCACTTAACAAGATCAGTGTATACCAGTGGGTCGAAAACTAAGTTCCAGATGCGAGTTAAAAATTTTTGACTCGGGACGTCAGCAAGACAGCTTGCAAATGAACTCGGGCATCGGTCATAGTGTGCTTGTAAGTATTAGTACGACCCCGGCCTAACATTGTTGAGGGATCAATTCAGCGCCTCCGAGTCTCGAGACCGATAGATAGCTTTTCGATCCCAAATACAGCTCCAGGGTCAGGTTCCGCGACAGTTCCTTGTGGCGTGTCCCTTGTGGATCTCTTCTAAAAGGAATCTTGCCAAGACCTTACCGTGTAGTGCGCTTTCGGATGAAAGATGAATGCAAACTGTGCTTACTGGAGGAAAATCGCGTTCGTAAGCAAGAACAAATGGAAAGGGGTGGGTCCGTATTTGCTTCAGTCTGTTATTTCAATTTCGCTGTACCCTTTGTGACACAATCCGCCGATCTCACTGGACCAAACGGGCGTCGACACAACACTGTTGTATATCTTGATTGTGCTTCGCGGCACCAACAGGCACCAATTTCACCAGCACAATTGTTGGGGCTCTGTGGCGGCGGTTCCGCGGTGCTATTAATAAGACGACCCCATTCCATCGGATGGGTTGGTACACGCCAGTAAGTAATCTCGGCGGTTTTTGTATCGACAGAGTAACAGGTACCTTCCATACGACCGTCAGACGTATATGTATCTGTACTACTTAATTATCAGGGCCACTATGAACCACAAAAGATACGCTCAGCCTGTCATTAGCGTGAAAATCCATACTCTGGGTTTGGGAAATGTTGCTTTACCTGCTGAGTGTTAGGAAAAGTCAAAGTCAAGATCAAGGACCGAGGGACAGGGATGATGTCTTGGGGTGGCGCGCCGGAATACGATAGCCTCTCGACGAGGCTTCGTTTATAATGATTTGACAATCTGGCATCAAAGCCTGCGGAATCAGAACCCACATGTTCTGGGTAGAACCGTCAAGGGCTCTGAGTCGGTGCACGGATCCATTCTTACGAGTTGCGAGCTGAAGTCCCCAGATAAGAGAGAATCTTCCTTGTTCCTTCCGAACCCTAAAACGCGAAGCCTAGGAACTGATATGAGATGGATCAGGAGCTTGCATGTTCGAAAGATCAGGCACAGGTGGCGTCTATTATCAATCGAAATCGTACGCAAAGCTTGAACCTATGCGTACATTCGGATCATAAGGTCTGCGATTCAGAAGCCGTAAGCGTGTGTATTGAATTGCTACCGACAGGATGACCTGCATAGACGGAAACTGCCAGGAATACCGTTATGTGGCGTAGAACCTGGTATAAGAGGTACAGCTCGTTCCTTGTCTTACACACTGTTGATCATCCCTAGCTGGTACGGACGGTGCAAAGTCCGAAGAACTTAGAATATGGGCAAGAACGAATGATTGAGTCGACGGTAAAGACGCGGACCGAATTGTGGGTCCTCCGTGGGTCCGAGTGCTTAGACACTATGGAAAATGCCTATGAAAATCTAGACGTGGCCAGCTCTTAGCAACGAAAACTGAATCGCACAGGTCAAATGAAAAAAAAAACCGTTCAAGTTCGGTTCACCTCAAGGTGGGACTACTCACTGTGCTTATATCTGAATCACTAGGAGACGAAGACAGGCAAATAGTGCGCCACGGCTTGCACTCAACTCGAAATCCGGCCGTGGTGATCGCATTTGGGCTAGAGTAACATGAAGGCTTGTATTTTATCAGCGCAGTTTTTGAGGGAAGATTCGAACCAACAATCCGGTAGCTGCCCAGCAGAGAAGCTACATTGCACAGTCCATTCGCTAGACCGCTTAAATTCAAAACCCAAGGACGAAAATACGCGAAGTGCCTTGGCATTCTCGCGTGAGTATTTCTTCCCAAATATTGGTGGATAGCGGGGACCACGAAGGTCAATCCGTGGGGAATGCGCTTAGAAAAGCATGTATAACGGTGCAAGACACCGTCCTGACCAGCCACGAAAAAAATTTCAGTTCGATTACGACATCAGGGTACATAAGCTTACCCGCGAAAGTGATCGAGACCTGAAAAATGTTCATAGAATATATCTTTATTTAATCTATACAGGCAATTCACTCAACTGGAGCCCTGAACATGCATCCGATGGACGCTTAGAGTATTTGAATTGAAGTCAAACGATGCTGAAAAAAAATGTCAGGAGTCAAACTAGAAACGGCAAGGATGAACGTACGCTTTGAACATCTGACAGACCGGCTGAACGCCAAATCCTCGGATTTGAATACTCACTGGGAGTTCTGGTTCAATGTAACTGTCAAATAACGATGCTGTCTTCGGCATCATTGATTCTGTTGCTGAGTTAGTACGGGATCTATCGATGACGAGAAAGGAACGAGCAGCAAAAACATCGACCCTTTGGGGACAATAACGGCGTCTTTGACAGAGTTCTTCGTGTAATTGCTATCTGAAAGCCCAAAGCCTCTGACCAGTTTGCATCATCTCAACTTGTGGTACCTGTCATATCATAGTGAAACAGAATAATGCAACAAAGGGAGCACAACCCTTATGATATAACCCACAGCGATGCATACACAAACCGTCAGCTCATCCATCTATTCTTGGATCGATCATGAAGCCACCAATCGAGTTAAGTTGACCCCTCGGTCCCGGACTCCCTAATATTGCCCAGAGCTCCAGTTCAAGCCGCGCATCGCATCCACAATACGCCCTTTGGGATTTGGTATGCCGCTAAAATGTCGCATCAAGAGATTTAGGATGGAACAGAAGCACGGTATGCGCACCGAAGACATACAAGCGACCATGATCGTGTTGGCGGTTTCGAACTTAAAAATAAACGACTTAGTGATCAAGACAACGTACTTCGAGTTGAACTATGAAGTGCGCTCACCGACCCTCATTAGAT